AAACCTGGACTCATCCGTAAAGAGAATAGCCCTCCATTGCTCAGGCGTCCAATGGACATGTTGTCGTGCCCACTGCAAATGGTCCCTCCTATGGCGTGACTTGAGGAGCACGCAAATCACAAACATGGCCTTTTATGCTCCTCACAGATGACGTATTCTGAAAGCAGTGCCACTAATTTGCATATTGCAGTTTTACTCAGCTACTCTTACTTGGCAACATATTAAATTTTACATTGTTTGGCCTATTTTTGAGGGAGTTATTGCTATTTTTGTGATTTTTCCTTAATTTATGATTAATTAATTAATTTATTCCTTAATTTATGATTCATCCTTAATTTAGTATGTAGGAATAAACAACTGCCAGTAACAATAATTTATGTTAACTAGTGCTTTTGTACAGATTTCAATAAATAATTTTTTATTAAGTATCAGTTATGTTTTATTTCTGTTATTATCCTTTAGTTTTTTAATAACCAGTATTTATGATATATCACAAAATTGTTTTGCTAAATCAAAAAATTTCTGTTCTGCTAAATTTTGTCTGTTTTCTATCACAAGCTGAGACTTCTGTCTATTTCCTGTGTATGCTTTAGACTTATCTGAGTTCTAAATAAATAAATAACCACATATGCTTAAGATTTATCTAAACAACAAATCGGTTATTCTGGATTCAAACAACACTTTTGGGCTATAATATGATTAACAAAATCTATTTTTTTGCGTATTGAAAAGAATTTCTGTTGAATTTATAATACTCCTCAGCACAGTTGTCTGAAGTCGATTATTGTCTTCCAAGTGTAATACCAACATGAAAGTTAACCATGCTATTTGGTATTAAGTAAGAAAATGTTTCGAACATCATGTGTGAGTCTGTTCTCAAGTTGCCATGAACTGTCATATGATGATGAAACCAAAAAACAATAAAAATCATTTTCAGGGATATATGATTATCAGTGGGTATCAGTGTTGCCAGATCATGTGATTTTTCGCAAATTTGCAACTTTTGGTAAACTTGTGCTAATAAAATTTTAGTATTTGCGAAATTTTTGCGACATCCATCAATTTCTTATGCTCCTTTTTGCAACTTCAAAGAGTTTTTTTAATATATTGTAAAATGCCTTTATGCTAAAATAATGTATCAATTAAAAATAATTTATATTAAAAAAACAGTTTATTTAGGCTTAAATAGAAGTTGGCATCTGGCAATCTCGTTTACATGTGGGCTTTCCTTTTCAAGGAGGAACAGCCTGATGCCAGTGTAATGCTGCTATCACATACACTATTTGTTGCTAGAACATAACGTTAGAAGGAACTATTCTCGGAACTGCGCTTCTGTGAAATCAGGTTACCAACTTCACTTGGTAAACAGGCTGAAAGCCAAACAAGAATCAGTTATTGCTCTGATTGACAACAGTGACGTTTCCTTTCAAGTGACGATTGCTTTTTTGTGTTGTTGTTTGTATCGCTCACACTCTTTTCGTTTTAAACTTTATTGTTAGTTATGGAAGATAATAGCTATTAAGTTAATCACTTTTATCTTGACTCTGATGATTCTAAAAGCTAAAGAGAAAAAAACGTGTCAAGAGTAGGCCGATTTTTTGTAATGATCTGTTGTATATATTTGATTTTATTATTGTAAATAGTTACTTTTGTATCCATATATTTATTTAATAACTTTTATGTACATGATATAATGTCATTTACTCATATTTGTTTTGTGATGAGTCAAAAATTTTTATTTCATCCCAAAAATGTTAAATATTTCATAAAGACTACTTGCTTAATTTTTTTGTTTAAATTCGGAAGTATAGTTACAAATGCAAAGGTTGTGTGTAAGTGGATGAATTTTAATGACTAGCCTAATGCACAAAATGCACTGTAGTTATTTTTCAACTGTGTATTCCGTATCCATGATAATGTGCAAAGAACTGATGACTACAGTTGCTGTCAATTACATAAGTGTTATATGACTTAGAAATGCACAAGGGACAAGGGGGAAGGTGAGAGGTCCTGAAGCAGTAATTTTTCTTTCTTTGTCACTTTTTTCCTTTTCTCCTACCCCCTTCTCGTTAAGTGGCTATCACTTCTACGGACGTGCGAGGCTTCAAATTAACTATTATATACAAATTTATTTATTAATCGTTAACTTCAAATTGCCAATGTTCATTTTTGTATTCGTACATATATATATACACAGACACTTGGAATAAGTCATATATTTACATACACATAGAGAGAGAGATGCAATGGTTTAGAAGTTGTTGATGTGTGTTTATTAGTATTAATGTAATGAATAAGATTTATATTAATGAATGTATATACAAATGTTTTTCATCATTCATAATAATAAATCCTATTTCAATATGTAGCATTTATAATAAAAATAAAGTTCTTAATGTGTTTATATTCTAAAAAGCATTTCATTAGTAACATGAAGATAATACCATACAAATTTAATGTTTATCTTCATTATTACATAATCAATGTTTTAATAAATTACATAATTGCTGATTTTAACATAATCACTGATTATACAATTTCAAAGTAATAGAAGTAATTAGCAGAAAAGTAAAGTCGTGCATATACAAACATATTTTAAAAAATTATTCCCCTTATTAAAAAAAAATACTTTTATATAACAATGACATTCTTTTCACATGATCAGCCTGAAATACGATGAATAATTTGTATACAAATCATCAGAAATAGCACGTAATAAAATATTGTTTATTTTGAAATTTCCATGATTATAAATTTAATGAATATATTAACATTTAAAAATGACTTAAACAGTTATACTACAACAAAACTGCAATATATATACAGCTTTTTCCATATTTCTGAAATTAAATTGGCTTCTATTCCCACCATCCATGATTTCACAACAAGAGCCATCACCTTATTGAAAATTACCTGTGAAGCAGAACTTTCATCTGATTGGCTGATCTCTATGTGGAACACGGTTCCAGATGGGACATTTTCGGAAAGGTTTCAAAATGTTGCTCATACCCGGGGGCATGTTACGCCTAGCTAGACAAAACATTTCTCGGAAACCTCCCGTTTAAACCAGTGTTACTAGAACCTCATTTCTTCTAATTGTCCCGCCTAGCCTTGCACGTCCGTAGAAGTGATAGCCGCTTAACGAGAAGGGGGTAGGAGAAAAGGAAAAACGTGGCAAAGAAAGAAAAATTACTGCTTCAGAACCTCTCACCTTCCCCCTTGTCCCCTGTGCATTTTGTTTTTAAGTCAGTTCTCTCCCCCAGTTTTATGGTGATAACAAATCGAACAAAAGAACTTGCAGCTTGCGTGCCATATAATAAGTATCCAAACAGAGAAAGAAAGGAAATTCATTCTCCTGATTATAATATTGCTAAGAACTAAGCAATGGAAATGTCTTAAAATCAAAGCAATGCCATTTTTCTAAATAGCAATGCAAATAAATTTAAAAGTGAAAAAACAAGGCTTTCATAAGTAATCAGAGTCTGAAACAAAATCGACCAAGCAGAATGGAAATCTCACTAAAAAGCATTCCTCAGTTAAAATGTTCAAAATTAAGGGGGAGGGGAAATTAAAAAATTAATTGCCAACTCAAAACATTTAGTACAAAAGTGCTAACAGTCTAAACATGAGAAACCTCTTAAGAATAGATATGCACAAATTAATTTTAAAATAGAAAAATTAAATGAGAATTAATTAAAAAAGAGATGGATGTTTAAACAATTTAAAATGAACAATATGGCTTTAAAATGTTCATTAAAGCTAAGGCACATAATTAAAAAGACTAAGAATCGAATACAGTAGCTTACAGAACAATCGAATACAATAGGCAGTAAATTTGTGATGACGTCAGAAGTCATATGAGCATGCGCAACTATGAGGTCACAAAAATCACGTGATCTCTGATGTCAGTTGCTACTTTTTGAGCCCTCTTTTGAAACTTTAGTTGAAAAATTTCTGGCAACACTGGTAGGTATTAAAAACAGTGATGAACTTTTGTAGAATGTTTTGGCTTGAAATATATGGCAAGCAGAAAAGCAGCTATGGAGCCAAATTATTGATCAATAAAGATGTATGCTAATAAATGAGTGTTTCTTCCAAAATGGATGTGTTTTATTTTTAACCAAAATGAAATTAAAAGTCAGTATCCTCCACGGGCTTTTTATGAAAAAATGTCTGCTGCATATGCGTGAATTTTTAAACATATAATAAAGTGAGATGCTACTCTTGTAATCTAATTTTTTCTACCATTTGAAAAAAAGTTTTCTAAAAAGGTTGGGGAAAAGAAAAAAAAAGCTGGTGATATGGATATTTGATCATTCCGAGTATTCGGCATCTTGATCTCAAACTTTGTACTGTAAATCTTGTATTCCTTAGCATTGTTGGGTTGCAAATTACAAATTCAGTTTTGCTGCTTCTGCCAAAATTGTCCATATTTGGTTAATTAGATTTCTTTTAGGCTTTCCATTATAATCTCTCTACATTATCTAGTGATTAAATTTTAAGCCATTTTTCCTATCCATGTATTAACAAATTTTTTCTGCTTTCATTTTTCATCCCTTGTTGCCATGAGATGCTTTGTTTCTTTTCATTACTTTTGTTTTTATTGCTGTCCCTTTACTATAAAAAGCACTGTGGTTAGTCTTTAATAAAATCTCACAAATTTATTCATTCATCTTTCTATTTGTGGCACATGTATTTTAGTAGCTGAAGAAGACAAAATTGAATTGTTGAAAACACATCTGCTAAAATTATATCAATCAGTGTTGTTTTTCTTCCACTCAGTCATTTCCTTATTACTCATAATGGCTGAAGTTTTATGTTCTTTATTGTTACAGGATTGACAGAAAATACCATCAGGTTTCTTTAATTTCAAATATTAGTTATAAAATTGCCAAGTACTAAATAATGTATTTAATCCTTACATTATCTTGCTCATACCTAAGAATTATTCTGTCCAAATGAAAATAAGATTTTAAGAAAGTATTTTTATTTATTCGTAGTGAAACGCCTAATCCTCTGTGAAGATCTCAATCATTCTTCGTGTGGCGATGTGCTGTTCCATGGATATTTATGTCCTGCAGGTGAGTCTTAAGGAAAAGGTGCACTTTATAATTACTTACTAGATTTCATTATTTGCATAATTTAATGTTTTGTATTGGTATTTCATTGTTTTCATTGTATTACTTAGCAGTATTTGCGTAATTTTATGTTTTGTATTGGTATTTCATTGTGTTCATTGTATTACTCAGCATCCCCTCCAAATGATCAGCTATTAAAAAATGATAAAAAGGGAGCAAGTTTTCCCAAAACTGAAACCAGCTCATTATCAAATGTCACTCCTTCAACTAGTGGAAGTAGTAGTGGAACAGCTGATGCTCGTCCTGGCTTAGTGTTTAGAGTGTTGCCAGATCATTCTCATCAGAAAACATCTTCTGTTTCAAGAACGCCAGATGCTTGGCCAGTCCCATCTTTATCCCGAAGTTCATCTGACATAAGAAATATTGGAAGAGGACACTCTCGTGCATCATCTTTAGATATGCGCCATTCGAGAAATTCATCTGCCGATTTAAGCAAAATGTTTAAGATTGACCTTAGTTCATTTTTCAACAATCATGGTAATTAATAGTTTATGTATCTTATTTTAAATATATACCTTTGCTCTTTTTTAATGATTTTATTATTTTATTTTCATTTTCTCTTTGTTTCGTGTGTTCAAAAACTTGCTGGTATGAAAGGTTCATAGCTTCTTTTACCTATTAATTGTATTTATACATCAGGCTGTTAGTAAACGTTATTAGTGTTAAGTATAATATATAAAATTTGGATCACGTATATTCAAGGTTGCCATGCTACCAGCAAAAGTGGGAAAAATAAGGGAATTTGAAAATTTATAAAAAAAGTCTGGGAATTTCAAACAGTAAAAAAAAAAGCGGTTTCCAGCATCTTCGGTTTGCAGTAACTTGCAGAATCCAGAGAGCGTTATCAGGGTCAATGTTCCTTCTTACCTTCTTCGGGAACATACAAGGACCTGACTCGGAACAGAGAGCTTACTAAAGCTATGTTCACTAATTGTGGTAAGTAGACAGGATACAGACGAAGGGTATACAAAACCCTTTATTTTTTTCTCTATATACAATAACTTCCGTACTTCGGAATACACTGACCCGCTACTTGGGGTCTAACGTAAAAGTATAAAAATAAAACTAAACTCTAATTTAACTTTAGAATAATAAACGTGGAAGATTGGCCTTATAATAACAGGAAGCGTATGTAGTACAGAGACTGTGAACACTACAATACGTTTAAATTATCAAGAGGATTAAAACCTCTGGCCTGGAAGGCAAACAGCAACTGCGTAACTTCTAAGGTAAGCGGCCTGCGTTGACTCACTGCTTCCTCTCTTTCGCTTGGCAAAAAGGCCACAACTTAAATACTTGGCGTTCGCCAGACAAACTTTGCATAAAAACCTTAACGCTTATAATTCTGGCCGGAAGTAGAAAATAAGAAGTGATAGTAAAGATTTAAAATAAAATAAACGTTAGTAAAACTTAAGATCCTTACATACTTCCCGCCAGAGTTAATTAGTTTGAAACTGAGGTCTAAAACGACCTTGTTGAAAACTTTTAGCTCTAGAATCTAACGCGAGGCCAATCTTTTACAAACATACTTCGCTAGAAACTAGAAATTTAAAAGAAAGAAATTTGTTACAATAGCAGCTCCCAGGATATACAACAATTTTTTTTTCATCTGTACTGCATCTAAACAGGAGCTTTTATTCAATTCTGGTTCCTTCCAGAGATCTGGAAGGAAAACTAGTTTAATGAAATGTTACACAATGAAATGGCAAGTAACATATACAATTATACTTCTCTTAACATTCTTATTTCATTCATGACTATTTTAATTATCTCTCCCCGTGCTCTCTGACATGTGTTGTAAAAGAACACCAAACACGAATGTGTTTCTGTCTACGTGTTCCACACTTCCTCCTACAATCAAAACACTAACGTTAATTAAGACACTAACGTGTTAAAATTCAACATAACAAGACCTCTTAACACACCCTAATTTCAACTCTAAACCCTGAGGTACTATTCTAAAAGTGGCTAACTCTAAAGTGTAGCGTCAGAGAGCCTAACTACATCATTCAACCTTTAACACATATTCTCCATGATTTAGTCTTTTTGCAGTCACACGAATAAAAAAAAACATTACTTTCACTTTTACCATATCACGGTATTTCTTAACATTTAAAATAACAGTTCACATTGTATATAAGAACATATCAACATGCCGTTAATTTTACACATTTGAAAACATACATTAGTAGTACATTGTTAACTTCTATTCTTTTCAAAGCAAGTGCCAATTCTTTCTACATTGAAATACTACATTTCAAAAAGTCTTTCAGACTAAAACTTCTCTTCTTGCTAGAATGTTTTAAATAAAATTTATACAATAACTTTTTACAATATTTAAGTCTTTACACAACGCTATTATACATCAACTTTAGTTTTACGCGCGAGTAATTGAAAAACATAATACCAAAATCGGTAACACAACTCATTTCTCGCCCTTTTGGCGATAAAGGTAGACCTCGCATGAGGTAAAACTTCTTGAAATCTGCCACTTGCAGTAAGAATGAAAGATTAACTTAAGTTTGCAAAGTAACATAAAATTTTACTTATCTTTGTAATATTCGGACATCCTTTTCTGGGCCCAGTCTTTAAAGGTATTGCAGAGAGTTGTGTGATTTATCCTCCTTCTTGTACGGGCTCGCCCTTCAGTGCTTTCCTCTGGAAGCTTCCTTTTTTCACCAGTTCGGCCACCCTTGAATACCTTCTTTTTCTCCTCTGCTTGTGGTCTTGGCCGTTTGATGGCAGCTGGTCTTGGCGGAACCGGGAAACTTCTTTCGTGTTCCTGCTTGGACCTCGTTGCTGGCCGTTCAAATTTTCCTTGTAACTTTTCCTCCGCCGCTGATGGCCCTTCCGCAGTTCGCCGACACTTACTGCGGAGAGTCCTGTCGGATGAGTAGATCTTCCGTTTCACAGCCGGGTTATAGTTGCCGTCCTTTCTCCCGGTCTTTCCACATACGTCGTCCTTCTCCCTTCTTCATTCTGGGGGTGTTCGTGAACTCTGTTTTTTGGACGGTGGAATGGCTTCTTTTTCTTGTTACCTTCAATTTTTCCACGGGGAAATTTTCTTTTCACTTGCTCCTGCCTCTTAATTGCTTGCCCTTGTACTTGTCGTTTTTCCACCTCTGGAGCTTGTGTCTGCGGTGTCTGCCGTGCCGGATCCTGCAAAAGATCTGAAAAGATTTGCATTTTATTACGATCAAAGTAGGGCTTGATTTGATCAATGTTTGCGGAACAGGTTTCACCATTTCTGGCTTTTAACACTACTACAGCATGAGTTATTTTTTCTATAACATATGGTCCTTCAAATCGTGGAAAAAATTTGGCAGCAGTTTTATCTTCTGGTGCTGAAGAAAGTGAATGCTTAATTTTTAAAACTTCATCCCCTACTTTATAAGTTACTCCCCGTCGTTTCAAATCATAATAGAGCTTCTGTTTTCTTTGTGCTACTTCCGTATTCTTTTTGCTTCCTTAATTAGTTTTTCTATATCACCCATTTTAAATTCTGGGCTCTTTGTTGCACATAAAATAATTTATCTAACGGTGTTATAATCTTTCTGTCTAGAAATAAATAACTCAGCAGGAGTTTTGCCCGTTGTATCATGTTTTGCGGTCCTAAGGGCGAAAGCAAATTCATTGACATAGTTATCCCAGCTTTTATGAAAATTTTTAACATAACTACGGATAATTTCACTATCGTTCCGCTATATTTGATTGCGGCCGATACGGGACCATTTTTAAATGACGTATGCCCAGTTTTTGGCACATGTCTTCAAATATATTACTTACAAATTGAGGACCATTATCCGATATAACTTTTAGGGGCGCCCCGTATTTTAAAATATATTTATTTAAAATAGAATCAGTAACTAATTTCGCGGAGGCTCGTTTTAAGGGAACAATTTCGGTCCATTTACTAAAATGATCAACCATAACAAGGAGATAGCGACTTTTATTTAACTGACTTTTTGGGAAAGGGCCCAATAAATCGATGCCAATTATTTCATTTGGAAATTCGGATTTAATACTATTTAGAAACCCGGCCGGGCGGAAATTAATATAATTAACTGCTTGACATGTTGGGCAGGACTGGACATACGCCCTTGTTAACTTTTGCAGTTCAGGAAAAGTAGACTGCCTCGCGTACGCGTTGGATAGTTTTTCGAATACCAGCATGAGAAGCTAAAGGGCTGTCATGGAGCTCCTGCAGGATATTTAATCTAAGACTAGCTGGGATAACAGGTCAAAATTCGTTGTTGGAATTCGTAGTTTTTGTATAAAATAATAGACCATCTATTAGTTCGTAATCGGCCGCCCTATTTCTTATCGCCACAATATCTTGGTGGCTAAAATTTTCAGGATCCTTTAAATACTCATAAATACTTCTAAACTCGGGATCCTTACCCAGTTTGGTTATTACAGTTTCTCGGGAATTTATTGTACATGCTGTAAGCATTGCCACCTTTATGGTATTACCTTGTTCGTCTATTTTAATTCTTGACAGGGCATCTGCTGCGATATTTTCCTTTCCAGGGGTATGCTTGATTACCAGATTATATTCTTGCAGCTTGAGTGCCCATCTTATTAACCTTGGGGATAAATTTTTCCCTGAGTACAATCTAGTTACCGCCGCATGATCAGAGTACACTGTTATCGGCGCCTTTCCAAAATAGACTCGGAACTTTTGCACTGCTAACAGAACTGCAAGTGCCTCTCTCTCGGTCGCGGAATAGTTTCTTTGTGTTTGATTTAAAGTTCGGCTAAAAAATGCCACGGGCTGCTGATTTTGCGAAAGTACCGCTCCTACCGCATAATCCGAAGCATCCGCTGAAATTTCTAAATTCTCATCCTTTTCAGGAAATTTCAACACAGGGGCTTGCGTTAATGCTTGTTTTAATTTTTCGAAAGCACTATTGGCTTCGGCCGTCCACGAGAATCTTGCCTTTTTCCTTTTTAATTTTAACAATGGCTCAGCGATAGCCTGCAAAATCTTTTATAAAGGACCTATAATATGAACAAAGTCCTAGAAAAGAAGAGAGCTTCTTTGCCGTGTTTGGAGTCGGATACTTTTGTACAGCGATTATTTTTGATTCGTCTGTCTCGATCCCTTTTTGAGATATTTTGTAACCTAAATATTTTAATTCAGGGGCTGCAAATTTGCACTTTTCGACATTAACTTTTAGACCGGCCTCATTTAATAAAGAAAACACCTGTCTTAAATCCTGTACATGTTGGTCGAGATTATCACTAGTAATAATGATATCGTCTAAATAGATAAATGTGGACTTTCCAAGAACAGGTCTTAACACAATGTCCATGCATCGCTGAAATGTTGCCTGGGGCCCTGAAAGGCCAAACGGCATACGCAAAAATGCATAAGTGCCAGACTTGGTTATAAAAGCAGTCTTAGGCACGTCCTCAGGCCTAACCCCTATTTGAAAATAACCAGTCGTTAAGTCTAAAGTCGTCATAAATTTGGTTGATTTTA